ATTTCATACCCCACAGAGCCGTATGCACAACATAAGGGTAAGTGACAAATGAGACTACCACACTACCACTTCCAAAACACACTGCACTGGGAAGTAAGAGCACTAAGAAAGACCATACACTACACCTCCACAACACTCTGAAAACTACTCCTTTACATGTTAACCAGACTTCCAATGTTTAGTCCACGGCCTTGACGACCGATTCACTCCAGACACAATTAAGCACTCTTACTTCAGCATTCCTCCCAGCACTAGGCATGTATCTCTCTATACTATATTCATATTACCATGTTATTATTCATTTATATGTCTGTCTTTCCATCATACCTAGAGCTCCTCATGGCAGAAATCTTACTTATTCTGGTAAGTGTGAAAGCCAGCACAGCCCCTGCACATAGGAGATACTTCAGAAGTCTGGTAGTTAAGTACCCTTGTACTTGCATAACCCCTAAACCACTCAGCCTTTAAATCACCATGAACTAAAATTAACACTTCATTACTCACATTCTTCTCATGCTGAAAAGAAAAGAAAGCAAATACACACACTTGCAAACCACAAGTAATGCTCTCCATATACGGTTAACTTAGGCTGGACACAAAATCTATCAGCTCACATACAGCACAAATAAAAACAGTGCCAAGATGAAGGTGCAGATTTGCAATTTTTTTTAAACAGATGCATCTGAACAACAGTCATTTATCAAATGTTCAGACTTAGAATGTTTGAATTTAGCTAGTCTCTGTGCCTAAAAAAGGAATTGAGATGAAAGCACATTATAGCCCTAAAGGGTTAATAAGACATTTTCATAAATCCCTGACCTGCTGGCTTAACTTCAGTGCCAAATAAATCCCAAGTCCCAAGGGTCCAAGCAGGAGCATTAGTGGCTGGATGAGGGCAAAAGTCTGCTGCAGCCTGCTCTTTCCTACAGCCGGAACACACAGAGCCTAAGCCTAAACTAGGAACCGGATTCCTTGGTTAGCTGGCAAAAATATATGGCAAACACTCATTTTATTAAAAAACCAAGTAATAAAAAATACATTACTGGGACTTAATCAAATTAAGAAGGTTCTGCACTGCCAAGAACACACGAGGATTTTTACAAGTTATACATCTGGCAAAGGTCTAATTACCAGAATCCACAGAGAAC